AGGCATTTCTGGTGCATTTACGCTATAGACCAAAAGAATTCCCTATAGATGAAGAGAACTAAATGAACTACAGGAAGCCAGGCTTTGCTTGCAGTATTTACTTGATCAACATGCTATTTCCACTCAACCCTGCAAAATCCCAATAGAAATGGGTTTATGTGGAACTCTTCCAGACCACGAACAGTGCCTACTACAAATAGTTACTCAGTAGAAAATGCACTGAGCTTTTTCTTAGTATCTATTGAAAATGTTCAGCATGAAAACTACCTGTTTTCAAAGTAAATCAATTCTTCATAATACAAATTAAGGGTGTTTATATACATATGTATATATTTAAACACAGCAATCAGGCACTGGAACAGGTTGCCCAGGGCAGGAATCACAGCCCTGAGCTGCCAGAGGTATTCAGACATCACTCTCAGACTTAGGGTTTGAACTGCATGTGATGCTACGTGTGACCAGGAGTTGGACTCCATAATCCAGGTGGGTCTTTTCCAGCTTAGGATATTCTGTAACTTTTATAATATTGATTAGAATGTACTAGATAGTATAATGCAACATCTCTAGCCTATGATGAAGTCTGAAAAAGTAAACAAAATAATGAAAAAAAAAATCAGTAACTCATGTTCACTTGGTTTTGCATCATAATTTACCTTCTTACTAACATCAATAGCAATATACAAAGAAAGGAGACTTCCTATTTTTGAAAACTCCTGGCAATGCTTTCTTTATTAACATTTCTGCGTTAGAGCTGATGAATGACTGGTAATTTCATTCTTGATCTCTAATTCAGCATGAGAAATGGTCAATTTCTGAAGACACTTTGACTCCAATTTATGTGAAGTAGTTTCTGTTTACTGATCGGTAGTTTTTATTTCATATCATTTATATTCTAATTCGATTTTCTTCCCCTTTTGAATAGGGCTTATGAATTCATCACAAGGACCATGGGCAGTTGTGAAAACCCTCTTAAGACAGACACAGGTTAATAACCATTACGGATGCATGAAAACGTATCAGCTAATTTTCTACCTACATCATGCTTACAGGGAATTCAGACCTTATCAAATTTACTCCAGACCTTATCAAATTTATCTTACACCTATGAAACGTTAGGGGAAATGGGAGCAAAGAGCTAGAAAACTAAAGATGAAAGAAAGCATTCATGAAAAAATAATTAACATGCACAGTGATCTTCCTGCTTCTGGTTTCAGTAGCATTTTGCAAGATTAAGAAGTTCAGGACTTCATCTATAATTATCAAAACTGTTAATGGATAATTATTCAAGCAAGTTAACTGCCTCTGTTTGCTCTCTATCATTTTATCTTTTTTTTCCCTAACTTTGGTAAATAGCAAACCATTTTTATCTCCCTTCTGCAGCCTCCAGAACATGACAGGCTTTTAAGAAATGCCATCTCCTTATTACTTTGTCGTTTTCTGATATTTAACAAAAGACCAATATGTGCTATGTATTCTCTAAGCTCATCTTTTTATTATCTTTAAGAAAAGGATCTCTACTAATAAGCCTACACTGACAGACTACATACTGGACAATTCTTAAATGCAAGCTTTTAACTCTGACAAAGCATTAATTTCTAAAAGAAAATAATAATAATAAGTCTCCTATCGGAAAGAAAAGTAGAAATAGCAAAGCCACTTCTACAACTGACTGCCCTGTTCATTCCATATCACTGCCACGTGTTAAATAAGTGAACTTCCATTAAGCAGACTTACTATGAGCATAACAGCTGAAATCAATGAGATTAATTCCTGATTTCTATCAGGTAGCGGCCAGAGGGAAATCAGCCTCGTAGCTCAGAACAAGAGCATAAATGTGATTCCCAAAACTTAGACCTTGATGGTCTGCCTTGGGGGCAAAAATTAGGTGGATAAATCCACAGTGATTCCACTGCAAATTCCCACTGACTTTAGCAGTACCACACACAAAACACATGCATAGAAATTAATCACAAAACAGGTGCTGTAAATTAATCTCCCTAAGAGATTTTATTAGACAAACTAGTGAATGATTTTCCCTGTGCTCTTCAATAAAGCTGTAATTAGGGGTATATATTCCAAAAGCCTTTCAATGACATGCCAAATACTCCAATAACGCAAAAGTTAGTTGTTCAGAACAGGACAACTTTTTTTTTTTTTCAGTAAAATGTTTGGCTAACTCCAAGAACTTTTTTCCATCTTACATATTTTAGACTGCTTGTGTTGGCAGAGGTGACTAAAGAGAACTACAGTGTAAGAAATCAACAAGATTAGTGAAGCCTTCATCCTGTTTTGTGGTCATTTAATGAAAGGAGCTGCTGCAATTCTTCTCTTTTACTCATTCTCGCATTTATAGATGTGCATGGCAGGCTCTTCACATAAAAGGAATGCTCTTTTATGAAAGAAGGAATAAAACCTTTTCATTCACAGCTAAAGGGAAAAAAAAGGGATTTGGAGAATTTCAGATGTTCTAGAATACTGTAAGTACTTTAACCTAACATTTTTTGAAATGAACAGCTTCTGGAAGGACAGATAGTGCATCGCTAGTGAAAGAGGCTCACCACAGTGAACCATTTTACTCAGTTACAAGTATGAGGGCTGCTCCAAGAGCAAGGCCTCCTTTTTTATTCTGTTGGCCCACAACCTCAGAAGCAAATGTTGGTTGTATGGCAGTAGAGGTTGAACCTTCCCACCACTATCCTGTTACGTTTTGTTGCCATGTAACAGAAGGCAGCAAAGGGGCAGTCTGAATGGCTTCTGACACTGAAGTACACGTGAAGCAAAGATGTTGAACCGAATTCCTCCATGCAGAAGTAATTGCACCCATTGACATTCAGTGGCACTTGCTGGATGACCACTGACTTAATGGAGACCAAATAGTGAGTTTTAGCATAGCAAGGCAGTGGGTGGTGTGTTACTGCAGAGCTGACGGTGACATGAAAGACAAGCCACTTTCTGGACTACCTTGCAGAGTTTCACAAGTGCAGCATACAGGCTCAGTGAAAATACATAGCTCCTGATGATAACTACACTGCAAAAGAGTGTTTTGTAGCTGAGAACTTGCTCTCTCAAACTGTGTCATTATGCTGTTTGTATCCGTTGTAGTTTCTACAGAAACAAATAGGAGGCATTACTTTTGGAGCGACCTCCATAGATTGAAGACATATGCTGGCTAACTTCCAAGCCCACTTCTGAGCACCAGAAGAATGCTTTTGCAGCCTGTACAAATTCCATCCCATATGCAGACAAAAATGTGAGTTATTCAAAGCGCAACCCGTAATATTTCTAATGAAGACTGCAGATCCTTTAATTCAAAAGGTGTTCTAATGTTGTTCTTAATCTCCAGTAGAGTGCAATTCTTTGAGCAAAGTATTTAATGCACATTCGTCAACAAAATGTGACAAATTTAATTTTTTCAGTAAAATTCAGCAAAAAAAAAAATTTACAACTATGTATAAATTTGAACATTTCCTAACAGGAATCCAGGACGTAAATATAAAACATATTTTCTCTGAAACGTTCAAAATTAAATGAACCATTGTCTTTTGAATGAAAAAAAAAAAAAAAAAAAGACACATTTTACTTTTGAATTCATCAAAAGCATTGAATAATTTTGGGCTTTGTTCAACCTGAGGTTGCATTTTCACTATTTTGATGAATTACTGGTGAGATGAAGAACTTGAGTAGCCATCAGCAAAGACCTTTAATGCAAGTATTCAAGCTTAAAACTCAATGTAATACTATCTGATGTCATTTGTCAAGAATATGAGTACATACTAAACTGCTTGAATAAATTTTCTTCTTTACTGATTCAAAGCTTCAGTAGTAAAAGCATAAATAAAAGAAAAACAGAATTTTTTCTCCTGCCTACACCGCACTGGACAGTAATTCACTACAGGAATTATTTCCTTGGTACTTGGCAATATAGCAAGAGCCCACACAGATTAATTTACCAGTACCTACAATAAGAAAATGTGTCAACTATTTCTACACCTTAGCAACAATATTCTATGAAGAAATAAGAGGTTCAGGGGATTTATCTTTTTTTTTTTTTTTTTTTTTTAAAAAACATATAAAAACTTGTAAGAACTGCACCACTCTGAATGGTACAGATTAGGAATGTATTGGCATTCAGTGCATTTATTGTTAATGGCATTACAGAGTGACATTAACGTAACCAGGCATGGCGGGCCAAGCTCACTCTGGAGACTGGAAAAATGGTAATTGGGAGTACAGACTGTCAGCAATACATGACCTCAGCGTGAGAAGCCAACTGTATGCTCCATCACACCGACCTTTAGAAAAGGAAAGACTGGGAAGGCATTTGGGAATAGCCTCGGGTCTGCTATTTAACTACTCTAAAAACGTTGTCGTTAAGCCACAACAACACCTTCAATAAATTCATAGTGGGACTCCCTAGTTTATGGTACTACTTTTTCATTTATTTTGTCTTAGTCTCCTCTCTGTTATCGTTCAGTGCAGCACTCATCTAAGGAATGATAGAGCTCTCCTCTGAGCCACGCTCAGGCAGTGACAGCAGCAGCAATAAAGAATGCTGTAGAAAAGAATTTCCTACACGCACCCCCTAGCTCTATTCAAGAGGTGTTACATTCATGGTGAACTTTATAGACAAGCACCCTGAAGGAGAACGTACCATCAAAGATCTGGGCAAACTTCACACAGGTTTCAGTTGCTGGGACTGCACCCAACAGGGTTATAAAGGGGTATAAAAATCTGTGCATTAAGCACAGCCTCTTGTCTTAGTGCTTTTGTGCTTAACATTGCCCGAAACGTTACCTCTCATTTGTCTTTCCCCTCATTCCACACTTTGGGATAAGGCAGCAGAAGATCTGAGAGCACCAGCTTGCACACTGAAGAACAGCCACCCTTCCCCAGGCTGTTCCTTCCTGGTGCATAACCAAGATGTTATAATTGCAATATAATCAAAAGAGGAAGGCAAAAGCAAACAAGGATCACAAAAGAGAATAAGTAGAAGAGCTTACCCTTGGGTTGAGCTCACTAGAAGATACCAAAAGAGGAGAATCTCCAGAAGAGACCCTTCCCCTCTGGTAGCCAGCTCTTAAATAGGTCCAGGAGGGCTGCAGCCTGGCTCCACCCCTTCCGGCAGCACAGGTGAATTGCCTTCACCTGTGCTCCTCTGGCTGACTCAAGGCTCACCTCAGGTGATCAATCAGAGGTTCAGGCCGTGACTCAGCAGTTCCCATACACCTGGGGATTAAGGGCCCCACAAAGGCACATATGCAAAGAGATACTGCTGCTTTATTGTGTTGGCTTTTTTTCTCCCTAGTCTTCTGTTTAAATTGTTCCTTTTTATGGCTTTCAGTAGCATAACCTTGAAGAGTCTCTTCATCTTTAAGCTGATTAAAAATATTTTTCACACCCAGTAAGCAAAATGCAACTTCATGCTATGTGTACTTAATGGAAGAAATATGCTTTACATGCTTCATTAAGTTATTTGTGAAATTGCATTAGTGCCATTCCATTAGTATACCTCTCTCAGCTACATCTGTGGTCTGTTTTTGACAGGCAAATTACCAGTTTCATAAGTCTATTTTGAGTTAGTAATGATCTTCTAATATGTTGAAAAATATCCATCTTAACAGGAATTGGAAAAGAAAGTAATAATGTATTTTTCAATACAATGGCACTGAAATTAATTGCTGTAGGACAAGATAATTATCAAATTTCTAAGCGTTTCTGAGAAACTAAGGGTTATTTGGGATATTTCGTTATAACCTGATGCAATACAGGAATGTTAATCTTGAAATAAGATGTCACAGTAAACTTTATATTGTTTAGAAGAAGTGAAAGGAAAGCATTTACTTCATTAAAATCTTTTAAAATATCTGGAAGGATGTTAAAATGATAAAAATGATGATAGGTTGACTATGCCTAAATTGTGAGAAAATGTTAATATACCCTTTTACCCTGCTTAGTAGGAATTACTTTAAAAGAAGTGAAACATTGCTGATCTCAATGCGGGCACTAACAAAAGCCAAAATTTAACACAACAGTATTTTTCTTTTTTTTCCTTTCTTTTTTTTTTTTTTTTCATTTTCAAGCCACTTTCATTCAGAGATCAGCTTTTAAATCATACCAAGACGAGGGCATGAAGTGCTATTCTCCAACTACCTTCTAAGATTAATGATAATGTACCATGTGTGTTCAGTTAGTTCTTCACAACTTAGGATCAAGGTCTCATTATCTTTAGCATCATAAATATAAACAAAAGAAGTTATGGCCTGTGGCCTGGAGAAATTACAGTCAAAGGCTCTAAAATAGTACTCATCTACACCACACTCACCTGCTGTGCTGATGCAGAATTAACTGTGCCCAATATGTATTTCCAAACTGCGATTAAATATACTGCATGGGGCAACAACCTGCCAGAGTGAACAAGGAAAAGAAGAGGTGGACAGCAGGCAAATTAATTTAAAGTGCCTTTTGATAGCTCTTTATCATCTGGAGGGATAGTTTCAAATGAAGCAGTAAATACCTATATTCATTGTTTATCTGCCCAAGCTACTGACTCTTCCTGTCCTTTCTTTGAGTCGGCCACTGACTTTCAAGATCAAGAGGCCTTGTATCAGGCTTTAGTTCAGTTGCATTTTAGGTGTGTTAAGATACCATGCAGAGCTGTTTCACTAGCAAAGATTACCTGAAGGGGAAAAGAAGCACTGAAATTATGACTGAAATCAGTAAAGCTCATGGTTATGTAATGATCCTGTAAGAAGAAGAAGTAGAAATATACACACTTCATAATTTCTTGAGCTTTCTGATGTCAAATTAATAGAGATTGAGGGCAAAACCAGAGGTGAAATATCAATTACTGAAACAACACCAAGGATTACAGCATCACCAGAAGGGCAGCTGCCTCCAAGTATTCTGACTTTACTCTAAAATGAAAGACTTTCAGCAGGATTCCATCAATGACAAAAATATACCAACTTGGATGGCTTGTTTAGAGCACTAAGTAGCAAAGCAGGGCAATCAGCATCTCTGTGATTAAAATTGAACAGTAAACAGTTCAAGCTTGTATCACAGTTTCTCTGAACACTTCAGTACTGCCCTTAAATGGCTAAAAGTACATAAAGTTGAGAAGTCCTTCTAAGTTCCTCATCTCACACCAAATCTTTATTTCTTACATCTTTTTCCTCATCATAAAAAAGTATAAGATGTCTCATACTGATGAAAGAATATAAATAGCCTTGTTAAGCTGAGTATATAGTACATCAGTACTTAAAAACATCTTATTCACTTTATCTCAAAATATGATTGCTGGGCCAACTATATTTGGCATCACAGAGTTTCCAAACCCTGAAGCAAATAAGGCTGATCCAAACCAGAAAGTTGTGGCTTTTCATTATTTTCCTTTAAGATATGTGCTACGTATTTGTGTAACAAAAATGAAACAGATTGTCACGAAAAAATCCTTTACAGGCATTGCAGTAACCTTACTTCAGCTTTTGCTTGCCTCACCAGGCCCCAGGCACAAGGGAAGCCCTGCTAATTAAGGTTAGGAGTTCTGAAGTACTGCCATTCTCTAGCTTTTCACTTTAAAAAGTTTGTTTATCTTTCAATATCTCGGGTGGATTATCTCATAAAATTAAAGGCAGACATCTGAAAATCTGAAAATCTAAAACATTACAAGCATGAACCATGCCCAAAGATTCACACAGGTTGAGCAGATTTAAAGAACTGCCATTAAAATCAGGGGCATCGCCACTGCGAGTTTTGTCACGTAATGCCGTATGTCATGTTCATTAGTATATTTGCTTCTACCACTTACAAGAACAACTGTAAATTGCACTCTTCCTACCCTGGCAGATTTCAGAGAATATTGACACAGGAGCACATCCAGCCCCAATTACAGCTCACAAAAGTCAAAGCTACAAGACTCATAAACACCTACAACAAATGAACCACGGGGAAAGAAAAGCACAGTTCAAGAAAGCCTGGAAATAAGGACTATTAATAGCTGTGGACCCATGGGACTAGGAGAGCAGCACACATGGGTAGACAGCAGTGCCCTATATTCACAGATAGGTTACAGAGAGCACCAGCAGGCCATGAATCACACACACAAACACAAGGACTGCTCCACAAATAAGCTGTCTTAACCTCCTTGTGATAAAAATGTTGTTTTGCTCTTCCTCTATTGAGCCTAAGTGTGCTACATCTTGTCTCCGAGAGAAACACAGGCACACAGAAGAACAAGACCAACCTGACTACTTTCATATAGAATGTAAAAAATTCAGTATATAAATAAGGCACTAACTTACAGACAGTGGATAACATTTCATTCATGTCTTAAACTCTGCAGACATGGAAACCTCATGCGAACAGATCATTTTTTATTTCAAATAAGCTCATGGTCCAGTAAGCATTTGTTTTTCTGTATGCACCTAAGACTATACCTGTCCATATGGCGTTTTTTACTACACAAAAGACCCACTAATGCTGCTAGGTCTTTATTCCATGCTTTAAAGAACAAATGCACAGGTTATCGAGGCATTACTCAGATCACATCTCGCTCAGGTCGCAAACAGACAAAAAGACATGAAGATGAATGGTGTTGTGTCTCTGCTAAGCAAGGTGGCTGGTTTTCAAGTGTGGTGTTTTGGTTTTACCCCTCAAAGACTGAAGCAGACTGGAGTCAAAGGAGCGTCAATTATTGAAATTGCTGCTAATGTAAAGTATATTTTAATGTTTCAGGTCCAGTCATATGCTAGAATGTGTGTATTTATAGAAGCACTTTTAGGGACCAGAGATTTGGATTTTGGCATATGTGATCAAAGCAATTCTGTAAAGAGGTGCCAAGGCCAGAATTTGTTGACCTTTATTTGTGAAAGCTGTTGATTCAATAAAGGTCAAGATGTGTGACAAAATTCAAGCCTGTCTGAGCCAATTAATGACAAGTAACCAGACCATTAAAAATCTCATTTATGCGGAGCAGTCAAGTGGGTTATATGAGGGCAGTCTGCACCTTAGGCATCAGTTATAGGCTCACAACAAAAAAATAAAGGACACAAGAAGGCAGAACAAGACAATGCTTAGTCTTAAGAGGAATAAGAAAATCTTTCTAGGTCTACCGGCAAAGATAGGTACATACAAAGAAAAAAAGAAATTTTAATGATGCAGTAGTGTTTATTTCATTGTAAATGTTGGTACGTCTGAAGACAAATTTAGGAAAATATTAAGAATTTGTGGATATATTGCCTATAAAAGTACTAATGAAATTCATGGGAATATACTATTCAATATGGCTATATACAGATCATCAAATAGCAGTGATACTCAGCAATAAGGTAATAGAGAAATAGTCTGGAAGTGCCAAACTGCTCAGGGATCTTTTCTGAAACTCTAGAAAACTGAAGAAATAAAGTATGGCACTCATCAGGAGGGAAAAAAAGGAAAATGAGAACCTGGAATAAGATATTAGTGCCTAGAAAATCTAATGTTAGTCCCTAAAACAACTTGTGCTTTTTTGTTGTTGTTTGTTTGCATTCAGGGTCTATTGAAACCAAACGCGCAGCAGATTTCTTCAGACACCTTGGATTTTATGATAACAACAAAAAGATTTCACTGTTTTAGACTGCAGTTCCTCCTGATAGTAGCAGTAATCCTTAGTTTGTAAAAATGTAAGAAATCCTGCTTTGTTAGCTAAGGTGTGTTGCCAGCAAAAAGAATATGTCCAAATATAAAAGCCAGCTTGTACATATTTCCTTTTAAAGAGCGATATATAAACTATGGCTTGCATTTCAGCTTACATATAACTCTTTGTTAAAGCCAACACTAAATACTCCAAAGTATCAGTTGTATTTCTAGTCAAATTGCGTTCCCAGTAGGCACAGTAAAAAATTACATCCACCACCATCTCTGCAGCTAAAACCCTGCGCTGGTCTGACCGCAGAGAAGAAACTCATGGTGGTCACGTTGGCAGATAGCAACAAACAGCACTGCCTGAGGAACAACACTTACCAGCTTTCATTCCTGTGCTGCCAC